GATCCCTGCTCCCTTAAACACATCAACCCAACAGAATCTAACACCTCTCCAATCAAACCCCACACCACCATCAAACACTATCACTCAACCCAATGATTCTCAACTACAACATCAACCAACAACTACACATCAACCTACAACATCAACCCACCTCAGAAGGTCAATTAGACCAAAAACAACACCAGCTTACCTAAAAGCCTATGCCCATCAATCCCAATCCTTTTCACAGTCTTCACACATTTCTAGAACATCATCATTATATCCAATTGAAAATCATTTATCAACTGATAATCTCTCTACTGAACACTCATGCTTTACAACTTCAATTACCATCAACACTGAACCAAAAACCTATAAACAAGCATCTGGTGACCCAATGTGGCAGGAAGCTATGAATAAGGAAATAGCAGCTTTAGAAAAGACTAAAACCTGGTTTTTAACTGACCTGCCACATGGTAAACACCCTATAGGTTGTAAATGGGTTTATAAAATCAAGTATAAGGCTGATGGTTCAATAGAGAGATATAAGGCTAGACTGGTTGCAAAGGGCTATACTCAAGAAGAGGGTATAGATTACTTTGACACCTTTAGTCCAGTTGCAAAAATCACTACAGTCAGACTCTTAATTGCTTTAGCATCCATTCATAACTGGCATTTGCATCAATTAGATGTTAATAATGCATTTTTGCATGGTGACCTTGATGAGGAAGTATATATGACTCCTCCCCCTGGTTACTGTCTAAAAAATGACACTAGGGTTTGTAAGTTAACCAAAAGTCTTTATGGTTTAAAGCAAGCATCAAGACAATGGTTTTCCAAACTTACTCAGTGTCTACTTGACTATGGTTTCTCTCAATCTGTGGCTGACTGCTCCTTGTTCATTAAGAAATCACAGAATTCTTTTCTTGCTTTACTTGTCTATGTGGATGATGTCATTTTAGCTGGTAACAATCTTTCTGAAATCACTGCCATAAAAACCCATTTGGATAACTGCTTCACTATTAAAGACCTAGGCAAACTTAGATATATATTAGGCCTGGAAGTTGCTCAGTCCCATACAGGCATTAATATATGTCAAAGAAAATATGCCCTAGATATTTTAAATGATACTGGGTATTTAGGCAGTAAACCTGTTTCAACTCCAATGGATGCTAACCTTAAATTGACATCATCTAACAACAATGATCCCTTGGTTGATGCCACTGCTTACAGAAGGTTGATTGGTAGGTTGCTTTATTTAACTATAACTAGACCTGACATCTCTTATAGTGTGCAAAGTCTTAGTCAATTCATGGTACAACCAACACAGCAACATCTCACTGCAGCTCACAGGATATTAAGGTACCTCAAACAAACAGCTGGCCAAGGTATATTCTATCCCAGATCATCTTCTTTATGCCTTACTGGTTATAGTGATTCTGATTGGGCTGGTTGCATTGATACAAGGAGAAGTGTCTCTGGTTTTGCTTTTTTCTTAGGCAACTCTTTAATTTCTTGGAAATCCAAAAAGCAAGCCACAGTTAGCAAATCCTCAGCTGAGGCTGAGTATAGAGCACTTGCTCATGCTACCTGTGAAGCTCAGTGGCTTTTATACTTACTAAATGATTTCAACATTTCTCATGACTCTCCTGTTTGCATTTTTTCAGACAGTAAATCTGCTATATCCATTGCTACTAACCCAGTTTTTCATGAGAGGACAAAGCATATTGAATTGGATTGCCACCTTATAAGAGAAAAGATCAACAAAGGCACAGTCTCCCTTGCTCACATACCATCCAAGGATCAACTGGCAGACATTTTCACAAAACCACTATGTTCTCCACTTTTTTTAGCTTTATGTTCCAAGATGAACTTGAAAAACATTCATGTTCATCTTGAGGGGGGGTAATAGAATATGTACATATGTACAAGTTATACAGCTTTCAGTACAAGTCATATTGTAAATATCATTGACTCCTTTTAGGTTTAGGTTATTTGTCTATTTGGCCCAAGTATATAAGGGCATGTACAGTGAACACAACCAATTATCGATTCATTTTGAGTTTTCTGATTTCTGTTCATCTTCTCCTCTTTCTCTCAATATTCTCTCATTTTTGGTTCATCAGAATATTAACAAATACAACTAATCAGTAGCAATAAAAGCATAGATCAGGGTTACACTTTTAACAAAGTCAATGTTTGTGAGTCGTGTCTGTTAACACTCTTAATTCAATTATGCACATTTTATAGTTTATATATATATATTATACATTAATTGACCAAATTTCAATATAGGAAACAAGTGGTATTTTTATACATTTAAATTAATTGAATGAATTAATGGCATTTTGGCTGTTTGCAGCCAACTTGTTCTAAATAACGTGTATACTTAACTAATTCCCAGCTTCAGCTGTCAAACGAGGCGGTTCTCATCTTTAATATACAAACAATTCTTAGAATTATTCGCGAGGACACTAGGGAAATTTATTTGTTAGTGATTTCTATGATTAATCCTCAATTTCAATACATATTATGTGTTCATTTTGTGGCTGAGAATGTTTTAATGTTGTATTTACATATTTGTTCATACTGTACAATACATTATTAGAACTTAGAAGGCTAAGCCAACTCGAGCCCATGCTCCTGATACTCGAGCTCGTTAACAAAATGAGACAATAAATAAACTCGAGCCTAAACAAATTGAACTATAAAAAATTATATAAAAATTCTTATTTTCGAGTTTTAATGAGTTGAGTTCAACTCGACTTGTTAACTAAAAAAACTCAAGCTCGAGCATAGTCAATCTTACGATATTTGAACACCATAAACATTTATGAAAATTTATACTTTAATATAATAGTAGTAATGAAGCCTGTGCAAATTCACATAAATAAATAAAATATTATATGGCATAAAAATATAACGAATAATGTACTTACAGAATTAATGGATCTAAACCATATAGATGGTTTGAAAAAAATTAAAACTATTATTATTATTATTATTATTATTATGTTGTTTTAAAAAAAAATCATCTCGGTGTACCACATTCCCTAGAACTCGACTATCTGCCGCTGAACTTACCCAACAAAAAATCATTTCTCGATTACATACTCCAAGAACATTTACACACATACACACATACACACATACACATATATATAGATTTTTTTTTTTTTTTTAATTACAGTATTGAAGGTGCAACCTTACAAGAACACAAACATGAATATATGTTCTATCTAATGCTCCTAAGCATCTCAATTGATTAATCATTTAAACAAAATTGTAAAAAATGTCATGTAAGAAAGATTAAGCACTGCGCTTAATTACACTATTTACTATCAATTGTTTCATGTGCTCAATTTTGATAGGAAGTTGAGTTGCCATTTTGATGGATGACTGTAGGCTTCGACGCCTAACCCTACATACACAGTTTCTTTGGACCTATTTAAGATATATGCAAGCAAACAAAATTGCAATTTTCATTAGGTTACTTATTATTTCCTCAAAGAGCACTAATATGTCATAACCTCTGATTCAATGACCATGGTTTCGCCGATTAATACATATATGATATTGTTCCAATTAAATAAAGCATAGAAAAATTATACATAGTGTTTTTTTACACCGACAAAGAAAAAAATATTGTGCAAACAACTTCAAACTCAATTTTCTGGAACAATTTTTAGTACAGGGCATTAACAAAAAATTATAATTAAAAAAATAATAATGTGGTCATATTAGGTAACAACGCAAAGAAAAATTATTAATAATGTCCCAGTGCACCAAATAAATCATTTAAACAACACAAAATTAATATTTTACTAAAACAAATTTCGAAAGCACAAACAAATTGGATTGCAAAAATTTTGGTATAAATAAGTAGACGGGTAATCCCACTCTTCTAGTCAACACTCAACACATCAGACATGAATCAGTAAAATATCCTATCAGCACGAAATGAGAATTTGAGTATGAGCAGAGACCTATGCAAAAGAAACCACAACATTAGAGATTCAAGTACGCACATGAAGATGACCCCGTTTGTCAACCTTGTCATAGACCAAAAAATTGATGTAGAATCATGGTCCATTGATGATTGATGTAAAAGAAACTCTAATGTATACCAAAGGAAGTTTAGTAGTAAGAGAGTTGTTTTTCGTCCTCCACACTTCAACTATGGTTCCTCAATGTGCTGCAAGATTATTTTGTAAGCTCATGCATGTGTGTGTGTGTGTGAAAATTGAAGATGGGAAATAAGTTGTTCGTCGATGATTAATGCCTTTTGGGTTATAAATATTTATATTTTTGGAATGATATCCTCTTTAGGGATAATTTGGATATTTGTTCAAATGCATACTGTAAGAATCGGGAATAAAACAAGTGCGGTCCCACGCAGATGAAGCGCACACCATAACAGGGAAAGCCTAGAGAAAGCGAGGTTCCATCCTAAAACCAATTGGTGAAAGGAGGAATAACTCACTAGTCTTATAAGTTGAGTCTATTTTTACTGTATAAACGATGTGGTACAACTCACAAGTGGTATTATATCTAATACATACTACACAAATTTACTCAATCTTAGCACTCCCAAGATCAAATAATATGTTAAATACAATCATGGGTTAATGTTAGTCGGGCAAGCCACAGTCTTAGAGCATCTCTAATGGAACATTATCCATTTTGCGTTGAATGGCATGAAGAAAGGAAATAAAAAAATTATGTCTCCAATAGATAGTGTGAATTGTTGTGTCATTTGTGATGTGTAAAATTATAATTGGGTGAAGAAGAGAAAAAAATGAATAAACAATATATAATAAATAATAGAAGTATCTAGAATGACTTCTACATCTAGAAGGCTTTCTAGACATTTTTTATGTCATATAGGATTGTTTGTGTCATGTGGCAATAAAATCGAAAAATAGAATAACCATTGGAGATGCTCTTAAAGTAGCAAACAAACATAAAACTAGGCCAAATTAGCCACCTAATGGTTGAGTCGGTAGTTAGTACATCTCCAATTAAAACTTGTACCCTGCGTTACTTTCACGCCGTATATACACACACACAACAAATTCCTGAGGGCGTCAAGTAAAACGCAGCGCGTCCACCTATTTCCGCCATCCGATTCCTTCTCTCTAAAATTCAAATTTGGTATCTCTCGCCAAACCCTAGCTTTCTCTCTCTACATTGCTCTGCATTTTCTGCGCACAAATTATCTCTTTTGCAATTTAGTCGGACAAGGCAAGCGATGAGGAAGGGCGCTAAGAGGAAAACGACACACAAGGCCGAGCCTCCGAAGAATCCGGCGGCAGAGGTTGCGGCGGCGGGGGAGGAGGAGCTGAAAAATGACCCGAGCCAATCTTCCGGCCAGCCGGTCGAAGAGAACCAGTTACCGGAGAGTTTGGAGAATGGAAAGCCGGAGCCGAGCGGTAAAGCGGCTGCCAAGGGTAGACGTAAGCGAGCCAAGGTCTCCAAGCCTGAGACGGAGACAGAGTATTTTCCGGAGAAGCGAAATCTGGTAATATCTCCAATCGTCTAGCTTGTGGTTACATGAATTGATGAACAAGTCGATAGTTGTGTGTAAGCTATTATTATTTTTATTCTATTCGGGGGTGTTTGTTGGGTGTATGTTTGAGCTCTTAGAATGGACTTGGATAGAAGGATAGGGTATGGACAAAGGGAGTTGGGCCAAGTATATTAATGGCATTATTTTAGATGCATTCTAAGTCCATCACAATGGTATGCGATAGGTAAAAGCTGCTGTGATATCATTTAAAATGAATTGTGATGTAATGTTTTTAGAAAAGTGGAACTGTTTAAAAATATTTCTGTCCTTCATCAAGTGATTCTAGTGCAAAGTATTTGCAATTTTATTGTCTGCTGCCTGAGATAGATTCTACTTTGTAATTAAGATATGGAGGATTTTCTTTATGGTCTTTACATCTAAAAGATCAAAACTTTCTATGCATTATACATTGTACAGGAGGATCTCTGGCAGCAGGTTTTTCCAGTTGGTACAGAGGTATGTATGACTAATTTATTTTTGATTTGGCACGTTGCATGAAGTTTTGACGTTCGTAATTTTGATGTGCTGTTTTCTATGTAATTTTTTGGTTCGCAGTGGGATCAGTTGGACATGGTGTATCAATACAAGTGGAACTTTTCTAATTTGGAAGTGAGTTGCTCAAGTTACTATTTAAGCAATGCAATAAAATGATGATTTTTATTTGCCCGTTTTCCTGACGGTGATTCAGTAGCTTATTTAGGTGTGCATGTATAATGAAACCATCTAGAGAATTAAGGAACTAATTTGGTGATAATGCTTGGGTATTTTGGCAGGATGCATTGGAAGAAGGAGGTGAATTGCACAATAAGACGGTCTACCTCTTTGGTTGTACTGAGCGTAAGTAACACTAATTCATGGGTCTTCCATTACCTCTTGAGTTTTGCCGCTCCTATCTATATTTCTAGTTTCTACAGCTGTACTATGATCTGAGAGGTTCTGTAGCTGGGCTCTAATTTAATGTCCATTATGGTTGAGCTTTATTTTCTGCATAATTTGATGAAATATTTCTTGCTTCAATTCAATTTTAACTTCTTAATGGCTTTTAAATAAGTGTTTAGTAACTTCTGACTACTGTCTTCGTCGATGTTATGTAAATGACTAATTTGTATTAATTGCCTTCAACTAACCAACTGGTATTTCTGCAGCTCAATTGGTCTCTTTCCAGGGTCAAGCCAAAGTTACAATGATCCCTGTGGTGGTAGCTGTAAGTCCTTAAACTTGTTCAGTGATGGAAACAGTTATCAGTTGTGGCATTCATTTGCCTTGCTATTATTATGATATTATCTGACTTTTTTTATCCATTTGAAGTTAAATGTTTAAAAATATTTTAAGATTTTCCAAACCTGTGCAGTGAATGATTTGTGCCTAGTGTGCTGTGATTGTGGCATTCATTTTCTTTGCTATTATTATGATATTATCTGACTTTTTTTTATCCATTTGAAGTTAAATATGTTTAAAAATATTTTAAGATTTTCCAAACCTATGCAGTGAATGATTTGTGCCTAGTGTGCTGTGCGCATCCTAAAAAATTAGGTTATATATGTAAATAGAACTATAGTAGTATTAGCATGCTTGATATTTAAGCTCTAGAAGTGTTAAGGCTCTTGGTTGCCGCTGATATGCTGTATCAAAATGCAGACAAGTCTTTTGTTATCCTTTTTCTTTGTTCTTGCATTGGTGTGTGCCATTTTATAGAACTCGAAAGTATTGTTCTAGTGACTTATATCAGTAATGCTACTAGCATAGCATCTTTTATGGTCACCTCAGCAGACCAGATTGTGTTGGTGAACCCTTTGTATATTGCCAATCAGAAGTGTAGGTTGTAGTCCTCATACACTGTATATGTAGTTGTCTGTCTTCTTGTTACTCTGTCCAGTGCTGTTCTTTTTATGTCCTGGCATACTGAAAAATTCTGTTTTTTCCATTAACAGATCGTATCGCCCTTTCCTCCCTCAGACAAGATTGGAATAAAGTCAGTTCAAAGAGAAACTGAAGAAATTTTGCCAATGAAGCAGATGAAAATGGCCTGGGTTCCTTATATCCCACTTGAAAAGAGGTGTTGGTCTTTTCTCTCTCTCTCTTTTTTTTTTTTTTTTT